GGGACGCCCCCTAGTGGGCGTTCTTTACAAATTTCCATGAGGCACGGTTCCTTTGACTTTTTTGTTCCTATCAATATGCTCTACAGCTCTGTAAAAGTCCGAATGGTAAGATTTACCCTCCGAATGAAGAGGTGGCGATCCCCCCAAACTAGCCCCCTGTGCAAACAATAAAGTCAAAGGAACCATACCCCTACTCGTGACCCTTCGCGAGATATAAGCCCCTGAAATAATAAATTCCTATTACAAATATACTGAATTATTTATATTGTTATATTGGCCAAATGAATAATAATAATTTATATTGTTAATTTAAATAAGAATCAAAATTGTTAATTTGAATGTTTGAAATATGACACACGATAGGGGCGCCTCTAGTGTCCGTTGTGAAACGGTTACGGGACGGACACCAAATGAATGGGTTATATATATAGATATCCAAATTTGTATTTATTTAAAATTAATAGTAATAAATAATGTTACTAATTGTAACTATTGTATGTATTCCTGAAACAATAATTTCTGTTGGACTCCAACATGCACAGACTTAAACATCTGAAGAGGGATCCAAATCAAATCTTTAGGAGTGGTTTTTCATATAGATGAGAAAGATGACATCTAGAGTCTTGCAAATTTGGTAGTATATTTTGTATTTAAATCATTAAATGGATATTATTGAAAATGTAATTGGACTGGTATCTGTTACATCTGTAAAAACAATCATTTTCAAAGTTAAAATTGATCAAGAACTACCTCCAGTGAAGAATATGTTGAGAGATCTTCACTTTCAATCTTGTCCATTGAAAGAGATACTGCAGAACTGGATTTATTTTTCATAATATTTAAAATGTTCATATTATTGTAAACCTAAATAAATCTACCCTGTAACTCCATTACTCTTTTAATGGGCCTGAAAAATAAATTGTCTAGGGACTCACAAATCCTAGGACTGTCCCTGCAAATCTGCAATCAGTCTATTACAAAGAGAAAATATGCTTGCCTTGTATCAATGTTAAAGTTATATTTAGGCATCGGCTAGTAATGACTACAGGTCAGCAATAATAAGACATATTTCACATAAACATTTTATAGCATTATTACTGAGAATATATAGAAACTAAATATTAAAAACAAATATTTAGTGGAAAACTTTACCTCAAGTAAAATCTTGGTATACACAATTATTAGATTTATAATTCAGAATATTAATGTACTTTTTGTTTGTGTATATATATATATAAAATAATTTGTACATTAATTTTATTATTATTGATTAACAATAGTTTTTTCTTTAAATATATTTAGGTCAACCAATGCAATGCACTCTTTTACCATCTGTAACATCATCGTTAATAAAACCATCTGGAAGGTATTGTCTTTTGTTTATTAACACTTTTAAGATGATTAATATTTATTTCTGTTTATAAATTTTATTAAAGCTTAAAAAATTATGTTCAATTGCACTGGTTATCAATGCAACTTGCTAGAAGCAGTTATTAGTACTAAAAAAATAATTTAATAAATCCAATTAATAATCCAAATAAATCCATTAATAAATCCAATCTCATAAAAATATTAATTTTTATGGAATAATATACATGGTCTTCCAAAAAGAATGCTACCATTTTAAATTACTGTATTATGTTACATATTACCTGAGAAGTATGCAGTGTACTGTACAGTTCATCACTTGATAGAATAAATGTCTTGAGTTTCATCTACTATCTGCATACAACAGTTTTTGTCTGCTGCCTCTAGGAAGCACCATAAACAAAAATGGCTGCCCTGCAACAGAGAAAGCATTTTGTGTTCTTTAGATCACAACGTTGGAATCAGTCATCATTGTGCAACAAGAATGTTTGTCTTACATGATGGATTATTTTGAAATTGTGGAATCAGTCATCATGTTGCACAATGATGACTGATTTGAACTTTATGAACTGCAGAACATAGAACAATTTCTGTTATAGGGTCACTGTGTTTGTTTATGGCACAAGTTTCTTTGATAGAATATTTTGCATTGCCTGCCAAAATCAGTTATGATTTATAGTTATTTGAAGAAATTTTCATTAAAGATGAAAAAGAAAATAATATTATGAATAATCATCAGAGATGACAAGAATTGTAGGCAGCCCAAAAGAGCTGCAAGACACTATCCTATCGGTATGTATTTGGATCAATAAATTATTTTTATCCTTTCCATCCCTCAAGTAGTAGGGGGTCTGTCTTTTATACCATCGTGGGTCGGCCAGGTCTGCAACAGAGATGGCCGAGTAGTTAAGGGATGGAGCCCAACATATTGGGAACACCACCAAGATGACTTTTGGCTCATCTTGTATGCAGTGATTAATCAATAAATAAATAGAGAGATATAAATATGAAAAATGTACTATTAAACTTTAGAAACCGGAGAGAAGAATTTTTAGTAAAGAATTATAATAATAAACCATGAATTATGTTAAAATCTGATGATTGCTGAATTAAATTGTCTCGTTTAAAAAAATTATTTGGTATTTAATTATTAATGGTAGCAATAATTCAACCCAATTTAATCCGGCAGTTGTTTGGCTTTAATATAATTATCGGGATTTGAAATGTTAATATATCTACAAAGTGTGTTAAAAACATTCCAGGAATGGATCTAAAAATCAAAATATTAAATACATTTATATTCCTAACATATTTTGAGTTTTTTCTTTATCCATTCCCGGAATGTTTTGAGCACGCTTTTGTATACATTCCCATTAGAAAAATGTGTTTTGGTGTCTATCTTGTTATTTTCTGCAAATATTTTATTTGTTATAACGGAATACAGTAAGACCCCGCTTAACGTGGAAGATACATTCCTAGATGACAAAGCACTAAATGAAACAGCATTAAGCGAGGTCATTTTAACATAGAGTAACTAGGAAAGGAGATTGCAACCAAAAATAAACAGATTTTATTTTCATTTTACGTTATTTTTATATTAATTTGAATAATAATATATGTTAAATAACATACGCACACAGAAATGTAAAGTTCATTTTTTGTGTCAAAAGTCCTGGCTTTTCTGAAATTCTTGTCATTTGCGATAAAGTGGTGTAGTTTCATTTGTCGCTTTCTTTTTCTTAAGCAATTGTCGGTAGCATAAGATTGCATCCAAAACGCCTCATCTCACTTTTGCACTCCTTTCAAAATCTGGATCATTCACTACAATTTGATCGACGATTTCAATTATCATTACTAAACTTTTACTAAGGAAATCCTTAGAGAAATTCTTTGGGTTCTTCGTTTTCAGAATCACTATTTTCCAGTTCTACAGGAATTCCTTGTTCTGCCAGTTCTCGAAGGTCGTCATTGGTAAGGCTCTCGCCAGAAACTCGTAGTGACTCCTCAATATCCTGCTCGTTTACATCTAGTCCCACTGTATCGATTAGATTGACAATTTGATCAACCTAACGATGCAGCGATAGGCTCTTCTCGTTGAGAATTCTTGGATGCCTCCAGCCATAACTTCTTCCACACTCTGTTCGTGCATTCGTCACTTAATTCTTGCTATGTGAAGTCGATATTGCCTATAGCCATGGTCACACCGTGCGATTTCAGCCACGCAGGCAACTGCAACCACAACGGCTGTTTTCGTTAACAAGTAAACCCCCTTCGAAAATCGGCACGACTGCAACGCAACTAGAAACAAAAAGTTTGTTTTACTCGCACCGATTGCAAATGCTCATCCAATCAGCAAACATCTATTTGCCATGCCATACTGTGGCAACATTGAAAATGCTGTAGTCAGAAAATAATGGTGGAAAGCAAGATGACTGATAGTTTAACAGAATTAAAGATTAATTGAGTTAATTCAGTCTGACGAATGCTTGTGGGATTTTAATTCTTTGCTTTATTGAAGAAAGGATAAAAGAGCAGAGGCACGGTGTGAAATAAGTGAAAGTCTTGTCGCTTGCACAGCCAGAAATCGCATGGTATGACCACAGCTTACGGCATTTATGATTATATATTTTTTCCAAAATTACACCAAACATAGATATAGGCTAAGACGAATTGCCACCTTTTGCTGATTGGTTCGTGTTCGTGAATAATCGTATTATAAACGAATCAATAAAATGCCGTGATAATTTGAATCAGCGTAAGTTTTGAGCTTTTTTTTAGGCTTGGAGCAGACTGCATTATATTGAATCAGTGTTAATCTAGGGCAGCGTTAAGTGGGGTCTTAATGTACTTTCTATTTTCTTGATACCGTACTACAGTGTGTCCGAAAAGTTACTCTGCAAAGAGAAATTCATAATGACATTAAAGTTATATGTCATTGCGTACGAGACCCATAAGACGTATGTCCCACGTTTCCACTTTGTGGTAGATGATGATACTGCTTGCTTGCAGACTTTTTGATTTTGGACTACAATTTTTAGAATTCTTTGCCGATCACATACTCTCCTATGCTAGGTCTCTGGACCACATCCCCTTCAGGATTTCGGGGCCTCTAGGGGAAATTTCCAACATTGTATGTGAAACTTAAATCTTTTCCACAGCACAGTAACTTTTCAGACATCCTGTATATAACTGTGTGTGTGTGTGTGTGTGTATAAAACACATTTAAACTAATATATTTATATGTATATAACAGATTTACAAACAGACTATCTCCGACGGTATACGGACCCGGAAAAAACAGCGCTTCCACTTCTCAGCATCAGATATCTCGTTCATCAATAACAAATAACACTCCCGGAAGACCCGTCAATTTTACCGTCAGAATGCCTTAAAAACCATATTACTGTATTTTGCTGTAAAATACAAGACTATATCCTGCTTCCAGTTTTAAATTAGTGTTATAAACATGTAGATAAAAAATTATCTTCTGAATTTTGTGCCATTCTTTCAATGTTTAAAAAAAATAAATCTTACTACATTTATTATAAGAAATAAATTTTAAGAAAAGAATATTCATTTGTATTTTTTTTTTTATTTTAGAATTTACACACAATCTGAGATTCCAAAATCTTGATGTAATCTTAAAATCACAGAAAAAAAAAAAAAATAGGAAAGTAGGCAAAACTGTTAGACTTTAAGGAGGTACAATCGGTGAAAAAACATGGCTAACTTCATTATCTTAAATGAGGATACCATTCTTTATTGCATATTACGATTCTACATAAAGGAAAATAAATAAATAAATAAATAAATCTTTTATTTGGAACATTTTATCGGAAAGATGCACTTACCAGTCTTGATGGGATATCTAGGGAAAATCCCCCAAAATAGGAAATTTCTAAAGAGTAAAGGGAAGAAATGGATTAAAACACCCAAACCTAGGGAATTTTATACTCTAAAAATATTTTTGAACGAAACGAAAAAGTGATTGTGTTATTCATTAGGTTGAATTTATGAAGCCTGTACGCTCGACCTTTGGGGTAGGGAAATTTAGATCTGGCATCGGAAAAATTCAAGTTTGAAAGTATCTGGTCCATGCTTATCAGAAGTTACGAGTGTTGGAACTTTTTTATATGGCTACCACACTGCGCGCGCGTACGTCTGCGAAATTCAATAAAAATGGCGATTGCGCAGGCCATTCTGTCGATCATGTTATTTTTCTTTTTAAGTGAATTTGGCAGATATCCACAGACATGCATGTGGAATGTGGCTCCCGTGTGAAAATTTAAATGCTCATAACTTTGACAAGTAGGTTTTTAGAAAAATGTTCCAGATAATGTTTTTTATGTAGAATCACAATATGCAATAAAAATGGAGGTTCCCATTTAAGAAAATAAGGATCAAGTTTTCACCCATTGTAGCCACGTTGCCAACTTTGTGTCATGAAAATCCCCTAAAACTAAGAGGTTCCCCTAAAAACTAAAACAAGTTTTTTCTTCCTAAATAGTTGCAATGCCTGTAAAAAATATTAGTCTCGATAATCCAGAGAGACAAATTTTCACTTTAGGGCGCAGTCGGCGTGGGCACAGTTGAACAAAAGAATTATGTGACGAAGCCACCAGCTCCAGATCTCGCTGCAAGATTTTCACGCGATAACAGGAAATGTAAAGTCTGCCCGTATTGGTTAGTGGCACTAACCAATATGGGCAAAGTTTACATTTCCCGCTAAATTTAGGAAGAGAACCCCTAAGTTGGCAACACTGATTATAGCGCAGTCTTGACTAGGTCCTCTGGACTAACATCTTCAGTTTAATTAATTAGTGAATTTTTTGTAGGATGCATATTTTTCGAGTTATTTCATTGGGTTGATTACGATGAACCATCTTGTATATACTAGCTGTTACCCGCGACTTCGTCCGCGGAGGTTTTGCAAGCAAACCCCATTTACATTCAATATTTCAATAACCATAGTAATTGTTATATAACACCTACCGCTGAAGAGAATTGCCGAAAATCACACGAACTATTTTCAATTTGATCAATTTTCTGGAACGTTTACAATCGTTCTATAATCGAACCAATATGCAATAACAAANAAGGACTCCTTACCACGAATCCCTTGGGACAGTTATCGAGAAGCGCAAGCGCAAGCAGACTACTGTTCCCTTACCAGGTCCTAGGCCAACTGAAATTCCCGCCTAAATTCAATCCTTTTATAAGGATTGAAACAAAAGAGTCCTCTAAACGTAGTTGAAAACAAAAAATCGCATCTAAAATAGTACAGTAGAAGCCGTTCTTCCGGTTAAGCCTTAATGCTCTCCCTCACCCCCCGTGGGGGAATTTCTAAAAATCCCTTCTTAGTGTGCGTTTTCATGACGTACCCTAACTGTGTACAAAATTTCACCTCTTTAGGTTCAGCGGTTTGCTCTGGGCAATGATGAATCAATCACTCACCCAGTCAGTCAGTCAGGAAGCCAGTCAGTCAGTCAGGACAAGTAATTTTATATATTTAGATTAATTAAATAACTATAAATATTGTTGGAAAATTATGAATTGCACCACAGATACGAGATCAGATCAGGTATGGGAAAGCAACAGGATTGATTCGAAGAAAGTCAAGGGCAGAGCACTTATTAAATAAAGTATCATATTTTTTAAAATGTAGAACAATATTTTATAAGGAAATACTGTACCTAATACGGGCATTTCAATATCATCTATGTCAGTGTTTCTTAACAGGGGGGCCGCGGCCCCTTGGAGGTCCATAAGTTTGCCGGGGGACCGCCAATTAATCAAAATTTCCTTCAGAATATAATAAAAAGAAAATTGATGCGTAACCGAATATCGTATTGAAAAGTGAAATAAAAAAAGATAATAAAGTTTTTGTATTTATTTTTATTTATTTCTTTCTAAAAAACAACTTTGTTAGTACAGAAGAAATAAATGCAAATATGCTACTTACACCGCTTTTATTTCAAAGTAATTCTAAGAAACTATTAATGTTTGGAATTTTAAAAATAATTAAGAAAAATAATAGGCTTTGAAAATTTAAATGTTTTTGCAAAATCTTTACAAGTTGTGGGTGTTTTAGTTTAGTTTTAGCATCGACTTTGGATCCAGTAATAGTGCATTTTTTTCTTATATTGTGTGTTTGGTTTTAATTAATTAATTATTTATAATTAACCCATAAAAATGAGCAAAAGACAAAGAAACATTAAATTCTCTCCCTAATATTTGGGAAGAGATATTCCATTAAATACATCAGAATACTTAAAAATTGTTATTAATCCCACATAAATTATTATTTAAAAAATGGGGTCACAAAAAAATGAAATATTTAGTGGGCCGGCCGCGAGTATAAAAAGGTTAATATTTGACTCCGCTTTAGATGATAAACTGGCTCTGAAAAAAGCCTTTTGTAAATACCTTCGGATAATATACGGTGTCTTTTTTCTTTTCAAATTTCATTCTACAGAAGGTTCGTCGTCTTCGTCGCAAATTTACGCGTTAGAATAGACATAGAAAGTCGTCGTCGTCGTGCGCTTGCACCCACCGCGACGACGACGACTTTCTATGTCTATTCTAACGCGTAAATTTGCTGTCTTCGGGTAAGTGAAAAAAGCTTTTAATTCATTTTTCTCATTCCTAATCATCTTCATGTTGTTACTTTCTTCATTATTTCTTCTTCCGTCTGCGTTTGTTTTTCATTCTTCTCTCATCGCTGGACTTTTCTTTTGCTTCTGTATTTCCCATTCCGAAGTTGAATTCTAAAATCGATGATTTCGAAAATTGATTTTTTGGTTTTTTTTTTCCAAATATTAAATACTTACTATATAACTGGATTGCTGTATATTAGATGTCTGTAATCCAACAAGTGGTAGACGGACTCGCAGCAAATTTTCAGTTAGGAACTACAATTTTAGAGATTAGAGAATTTTAGGAGCTACATAGAGATTAAATACTTAATTACTGATTTTTTTTTTTAAAGTTAGGCAGTTAATTAAACCACCCCCCTACGCGCGACCCTTCGCGAGATATAGCCCTCCGAAAATTGCTCTACGGGTCACGTGACCGCCTGTTAGCCACAATTTACCCCCCCGAATTGAAGATCCCTCCGTGCGAACGAAAAAGTCAAAAGGAACCATACCCCTGCGCGCGACCATTTACGAGATAAAGCACTGTAAAGAATCGCCTACGTCATTTCCGGCGATCGGGATCGACGGGTCGCGTCGCTCTCTCCACTAAGCCTATCGACCTATTCTAATGTTACTGCAGTCTAATTATCGCAGTTAGGTCCTTTTCGCACGACCCCGCGCTCATCCTCGACCTCGGGGCCTAGGGCCCCTCATTGGCCGACACGCTCGGTTTCGCTGGCGGTCGACTAGTACTACGCGCCGCTTTCGCGGCTTGTGACCTACCTCTCCGGAGGTGACTGTCACTACTTAGGCTAATAGAAAACCGTTTTGAAACCAGATTGTACACTCACCTTCAACGGCGTCGCCTCCTGCGTCTCCCGCTACCTGGCGACGCCTAGCCTATTCCCGATGGCAGCTGGTTCCGCTTCGGCTAGGTGTATCCTTTGGTCACGCGCACTATACAAAACAATTACAATAATTCAGATATAGCAAAGTTCAAAAGTCAATTAAACCACAACAGGAAGTGCGTCGAAAAGGACTCCTTACCACGAATCCCTTGGGACAGTTATCGAGAAGCGCAAGCGCAAGCAGACTACAGTTCCCTTACCAGGTCCTAGGCCAACTGAAATTCCCGCCTAAATTCAATCCTTTTATAAGGATTGAAACAAAAGAGTCCTCCAATCAGCGCTTAGTGGCGTTATCGACGTCCTCTGATCGTACGATGTTTTCTAGCCAATCCGCGGTCGAGTTCCAAAACTACTGACATCGCCAGATCTGCGTTTCCATGACGACAGCCGTTGTTCGTTCAAAAACAGGAAAAGCGCGGGAATCGTACGTTCAGACGATTTTATCCCGATACCTCGTCGCTTTGTTCATTTCCCATCGTCCTCGACGAAGAGGACAGCGTTCTTTTACGTTCAAAGAAAATAGCGAGGTCGAGGCCGAAGTTTTAAACGCGAAAACGTGTACGTCGGACATTCGGCGCCGCTTTCCCGTAAGCCTAGAAGTTTGATAATGGTGTTTGGATAGTCTGTGGAATCGCGCTCGACATTCCAAACACCGTTGTAAACTTCTAGGTTTTTTTGATAGCTTGAATTACTCACTTTTGTTTTCAACTTGATCAGCTTCATTGTTGAGAACTCTCTTAAATGCTATAATTCAAACTAGGTCAGACCAGCTGCGAAATCAGGATATATCGTCTACTTCAGCTAAACAAGTTAATTTATTTGAAACACGCTTGGGTTGGTTGTACAACAAACTACTTAAACTGCGAAACTAATTTTTCCACAAAAAGCATCATTATACAACTTAGACTTAATAAATTTTGGACCCTGTTAAAGGGCTACCGGATAAATATATCGAGAGAAAACTTTTGTAGTTATTGCAGTAGTAGGGAGGAAGAGAATCTCTTAATTCACTTGTTTGGTTCTTGTCAAGTGACATATCAACTAAAATGTTTTGTACCGGGGATTTCAAGTATAATCATTTGAAAAATGAGGACATGTCGAAAATTACTTTATTTAATATTTTCTCTTTCTTTTCTAAATCTTTAGAATTTTTGCAATAATTTACTACTATGTATATTAAATAACATTATATAATCAAATTGTTTCCCCCATTGTAAGAAATAATTTAAATCAATAAACATTAAAATTAAATTAAATAATAATATCTTCATTGATTCAGCTTATTGCTTTTACAAGGGAAACCAAAAATATTTATAACAAATTTAACCACCAAATGAAAAAAATTTGAAGTCAAACAGATGACTTTTTTGATATTTGTAAGTCATTAATAAGAACATTCAGTATTTCTATTTTAATTTTATTCCTTTGTATGTTATCATGTTTTTTTTTTTTAAACGACACTGTCTAGTAAGTAATTTGACATAATAGCTCAGATTAGACAGTAAATAAGTACTTGTTCTCCATGGAATTGTACTGTTGAAGCAAAAGTATAATTTTTGGAAAGGCATATAAATTATATTTTTATACAAATAAACACTATATATTGATGTTTATTTTTCCACATAGTTCCCGTAAGAATTCAACTGTATATCCCAGCATTTTACAAGTTTAAACATTCCTTTCCAGTAGTTTTCCTATCCAAGCATCTTGAAACATTGCACAACTGCAGTTTGAAATGCATTTTGATCCGTGAATCTTTTCCCTGATAAGTTCTTGAATGAGCCAAAATAGGTGAAAATCTGATAGGCAAGATCAGGACACGTGTTAGATGCTACTTCCTAAATCTGCTTTTCCAAACAAGCTTTTATCTAGTTTAATGTACCATCAAAAGTACAACTTCAGTGTATAATCATTCTATTTCTTTTGCTTAATGGCTTCACACAATTTGTTGAAAGTTTAATGGTATCCGTCACTGTTAATGATTGGAAAGTGGAAAAATCGGTAGATCTACCGAAAATTCGGTAGACGTGGCAACATTGTGCCAATCTAGCTATAAAAAATTTATTTATTTCTGATCAAATTTTTTTTCTTGCGTTTCATTTTTTAAAAATTTTCGCAGGTGAAATTTTCAATTTTAAATACGTTTATATAGTTCAATCAATATTTTTTCTTTCAAATATTGATGATACAGTATATTAACAAGCGGATTTGCAGATGACCGGATGGCCGAGCGGGTCAAGGTGGCAGCCCACCGCTCTGGGAGACCCGGACTCGAATCCGAATGGGTCGAAAAATCGTCAGGAATTTTTCGGGGGTGGTCCGTTCGAATATGTCGAGCCCCATACCTCACCACCCGGCAGCCCCACTGTGGGCCTGGCCGAACCCGTAATGGGCTTGCAAAAAGAGGCCCTCTTAGTGTCCTCAGGGCGGAAAGAGTTAAAAAAAACTCCTGTGCCTTTTTTCGTAAATTTCTGAAATTTTGCAGGGAGGTTTGCGTGTTTGGGGAAATGTTTCTAGAAATTTTCAGGAAAATCGAACCGTTGGCTCGGGAGCTATGGCCCAACTCTTAAATAACTCTCGAACCAATCCGAAGACTTAAAAGTAATGGTAACAATTGTTACGGATAAAAACAAATAAAGAACGGAGAAAAGTTAAGCACAACGTTGCCAGTTTTCTATCCTGAAGACTACAATGTATTGTATATATAATAACCTCGCGTTTCTTTATGCAGCGACTGTGTGGAGAAATAACGTCACGAGCAGTGTTGGCCAATTACAAACAAGTTTCAGTGTGTTTTGCGTAAAGAAACGCAGCCTAAATGAAGTAAAAATTGTTCACCAAGGTATAAAAAACTTAATTATAACGAAAAGTGTAATTTTAATCGCAAATACGTTAGCGAAGTTATCAAATTTGATATACAGTAGAACCTCGATTATCCGGACCTCTATTATCCGGATTTTCGATTATCCGGATTGTTCAATATAAACAAAAATTTTACGAATTTGATGATTTGCACTTGGCGAATTACGACACTGTTTATGTACGTGATGGAATGCATAACATTTTTTGTTTCAACAACGTCTCACCCGGCACAGTGGTCGTAAACTCTTGAATGTATTTTGCATCATAATAAAAATATAACTTGACATACGTATTTATAAATACTGTAATTTATACTCAAATTACATCATTTCTATAACCAAGGGCGGCGTAAGGCATGGGCGACGTGGGCCACCGCCTATGCCTCGCGGTCCGAAGGGCCTCGCGCCTCGAAGGTTTATGCATTACTTAAAAGCCGTGAACGAGACGAAAAATTTTACTCGTCATAAGAAGATAAATAGTTTGTCAAATTTTTATTCATAAAAATGCAGTTTCAACTGCTTTTTATTTTATAAAATCCGTCTTCTTGCGC